AGAAATCAGCTGATAGTCTTATGGAAACTCCATTGTAGGTAACTGTCTCCTTTCCCTTTGCTTCTTTTAGGATTTTCTCTTTATATTTAACCTGGGTAACTTAATGGTGATGTTCCTTGGTGTGTTCCTCTTTGGGTCCAACTTCTTTGGGACTCTCCGGGCTTCCTGGAAGTCTATTTCCTTCACCAGATTGGGGGAGTTTTCCTTCATTATTTGTTCAAACAAGTTTTCAATTTTTTGCTGTTGTTCTCCTTTGGACACCCCTATAATTTGTATATTGGAGTGTTTCAGCTTGTCCCAGAGGTTTGTAAGATTCTTTTCACTTTTTTGAATTCTTATTTCTTCATTCTGTTCCCATTGGATGTTTATTTTTACCTTTTCTTCCAAATCATTGCTTTGAGTCCTGGTTTCCTTCCTGTCACTATTGGTTCCCCTCCTGTCACTATTGGTTCCCCAAATATTTTGATTTATTTCATTTTGAGTGTCTTTCACTTGTTTTTCATTTTTTGACCAAGCTCAATTAGATCTGTGAGCATTTTGATTATCAGGACTTTAAATTCTTCATCAGATAGATTGGCTGTGCCCTCATTGTTTAGTTCTTTTTCTGAGGTTATGCTCTGTTCTTTCATTTGGGCCATATTTCTTAACCCTCCTTGCTGCACTGGGGTGCTGCCTGTGGTGGAGGCACCAGAGAAGGAACAATGCAGCTCTCCTGTTTGTCCCCAGCAAACTTTCTGTTGGACTCTTGTGTGAGACTGGGAGTTTCTACCAATGTAGCAATGGTAGTATCAACTCTGAGTCTCTTTCCCCTTAAGTCTGTCCTGCCCACACAGCTATGCAGCTGCCTTGCTGCAGCCAGCCCCTCCCACAAGGTCCACCAATTCACTACGATTTTTTTCTGCCTGCCATCCTGACACAGTCTACTGCCTTACCAGTCTGGTTGTTCTGATTGATTTTTTCTTTAATTCCTTTGTTGGGGTTCCATGCAGTTTGATTTTTTGGTGCTTCTGGTTGTTTATTGATTTTAGATTGGTTGTATTCTTCCTTTTGGTTGTGTGAGGAAGCAAAGGGTTTCTACCTTGCCTCCATGTTGGCCAGAACTCCAAAATAAATAAAATCCTAAACAACAAAAAAGAAATTACCAAATAGGGGGAGAATTACTATACATTGAATAATTAAATCAAAGAGGAGTACCTTTGCAAATGATCATTGGTTATGAAACTGTTATTCATTACAATAGCAAAAAGAAAGATGCAGGCTTCCATAGGGGGACTTGAGAGCTCCCGGGAGACGTCTCTCTGGTATCCTTAATAGCCATGACTAAAAATCCCAACTTAGCAGCTCCTTTTATGTACTCAGCAGAAAATCCTTGAATTCAGCTAGAGCCCAACTCTACCTTTTTAGTCATATGACCTTAACCAAGCCACTGCTCATCTCAGACTCTCAGTGTTCTTTTCTGGGGAAATGAGATAATAAAAAACCTCAAGAGTTGTTGGGGTTATTATATCAGACTTGAAATATATTGGCTTAAATAAGAATAATTCAATATATGACAGATAACATTTTTATATAATGGCATTATCTAGGACTTGTAATATATTAAACTTCTATCTATTGCACTACATACTATAGTAGCTCTAATCAGTTTTCTGATTAACTACAAAGAGCAGGAACTTGAGAAAATTTTACAAGGGAAATGTATTTGATGTTTCTTGGGAGCATGCAGAACACCAATAATACTTAAAGGGGCATGATTGTCTGAAACAAAAATTTGAAATAAGTGGAAAACCAGCTTGACCACATGTTGCCCATGTATGAGGGTGAAAAAAATGTTAAGTAATGCTTTATTATTTCACAATTATGTCAGTTTTTGCACTTTTCTTTCTATAATAAATAAGAGTCGAATAAATAAAAGAAAAATGAATGCATTTCTAGAGGCTCTGCCATGTTTCATGTCTGAGTGTATAGTCTATGTTTGTAATCCTTGTTAAAAAACCATCTCATTGTTATTTCACATACTAGAAGTCTCATGATCTGTATTCAACTTTCTTCCCTGCCTTCCTCTCTTGTAAGTTCCCCAAATGAGAACTATGCAACAACCACATCAATATTGCTGATGTTTTGGGAAAGTAATAATTTTATATTTTTTCACATTTCCCTGTCTGAACACATGGAGTTTCCACCTACCTGTACTAAATGAACTTTAATCAACTTCTGGCCTTTCAAAACTTAACTACCACTTTTCCTTGAAATCTAACCATCTCAGACCATATTCACCCTGAGTACAGGCACAGCTATGCTTTTTTTATTATCGAATTCATCTCACTGGTCCATTTATTGCTAACTAGCTTTTTATTTCCTACTATGCAGCAAGTTCCTCAAGTGCAGAGATTATAATGCCTGAATTTTTCTGCACAGAGAACTGCTTGAACTGTCTCAGAGCAGGTGCTCAGTAAACATGCAACATATAATTGCTTTTGTAAAAAATTATTTTCTAGACTAATTTATGACAGACAATGGCTTGTCCAAAGGCAATGAATAAAATCCAGAAGAGTTAAATCAGAATTTTTACCTCTATCTCCTCATCACAATACTAGAATGAACTTCCACACCTCACTTATATTTTGTCCTGAGATGCTCAACATATCCTCTGGGATCCCATGGGTAGGATAGGCATATTTATTTATTTATTTATTTATTTATTTATTTATTTATTTATTTTTAAATATTTTAGTTATTTACTTTTAGAGAGGTGAAGGGAGGGAGAAAGCGAGAGAGAGAGAAACGTTAATGTGTGGTTGCCTCTCATGTGGTCCCCACTAGGGACCTGGCTGGCAACCCAAGCATGTGCCCTGACTGGGAATTGAACCTGCGATGCTTTGGTTTGCAGCCTGCGCTTAATCCACTGAGCTATGCCAGCCAGGGCAGATAGGCATATTTAAAAATGGAAGTTTTCTTGACCCTTGGTAGGTTGGTTATTGATCAAAACCTATTTCTAGAATTAAATGTTGATGTCCTAACAGAGATTATTTGCCACACAAAGTGGCAGATGATGGGGCCTTTCCCAGGGCTTTAAAGAAAATGGAGAGTCGTGAAATGTGCAATAACCTTTGTATAAATAGAGGTATTGGTTGACCCAGAGTTTAGGGAAAAGACATTTTGAAGAGTTCTTCTAAGCACAGCCTAGATGATAAATTTAAGTCAACATATGAGGAGTTCGAAGGTATTAAACCAGTGAGAAAGTCAAAGGAGGAGCCTTGAATCTGAGTAGAACTGGTGATAAGTGGAAAGTCCTAGAGAAGAGTGTGTGGGGGCAATTCAATATGATGGTCTAATCTTTCAATTTCAGATGATGCTATATCATTCTTCACTGCAGCCTCTCAGTGTTCAGTAAATCAAACTCAGCCCTGGTCAGCTATTAACTAGGAAGAGAAGGCACAAAGACAGCATGGAAAGTACTATATCAGTACAAAATGACTGCACCACAGGAAATTAAACAGTGAGCAAAGATCAAGAATCCAGTCAAAAATGGATTGAGAGTTGAAGGTAATTAGAACACTTCCCTTTCTCAAAAAGTTATTTATATTCTACTTCTCATATCAACCTCTCTAGTTATACATAATACAATAAAGATGTTTCCATTCAAGGCTATATATACATTTATGCTTTTCTGATGTTATCTGTACTGAATGAGAATTAAAGAGTAAAAAATTGAGAGAACTTATGCTTCTGGTTACACAGAATTTTGAACATGTTTTCCTGGCAACATAATCATCTAACCCTTCCACACAAAGATCTCAAGATTGCAGATACCATTTTGTAATAATTTCTCCTCAAAGTCTTCTAAATTCATCTATTCAGCTAACTACCACTGAGTTTTCCAGTATGGGTATAACTCCGGAGAGGCTAAGTATTAACAGAGACATGAGTAACAGTTTATTTGCAGGCATCCTTGATGCTGTGATAGAAGTCAATGCAGGGTAAAGTGGGGGCCAAGGAATGAAGAAATCTTTCTATCTCCAGTCAACTTCATGTGAATTAATCCATGTTAAGATTTCTAGGTTTGGAGAAGGCACCCAGATATCTTGTCTTGGAGCCCTAGCAGCTCTACAGCATTCTGAAGAGGTAGTTCATCTAGTGAATGAAACAAAATGTTTGGTCCATTCTTTGCAGAATTGAAGTTCTGACTTGACCTTAAATTTCATTTGAAACATTCTTGTTTTTAACAGTGAGGGCAAAGCACTTACATTTCAACTGGGATGAAAGCCACTTGACATAAAAATTCCTAATTATATTGATTAGCATTTGATGAAACAAGCAAAATTCAAAGCCCAGAGCCCAAATATCAGTTTTCTTTGTTATTTTAAATATTTTATTTACTTATTTTTAGAGAAGGGGATGGAGGGAGAAAGAGAGGGAGAGAAACATCAATGTGCGGTTGCCCCTTTTGTGTCTCTTACTGGGGACCTGGCTCACAATCCAGGCATATGTCCTGACTGGGAATCGAACCTGCAGATCTTTGGTTCACAGGCCAGCACTTAATCTACTAAGCTATGCCAGGGCAAACATCAGGGCAAACATCAGTTTTCTTTGCTATATTTTCATTGGCAGTAGTAGGTTTGGCTGGTGACTAAAACAGTGGGGAAATGGGGGAATGAAAAAACATCTGTGTAATTACATATTCTTATCTTCTTTCACTCTATCAAAACCTATATTCTATACGTTATAGAAACATTGACTAAATCACAAAGCTAAATATTAAATTTGTCATTATGTTCAGAATATAAGGAGATGATGATAGGATGATATGCTTTATAAACTTCAGTAATAGCCTTAAAAGTACTAAAATTGGCTATTTTCTAAGTTAAAAACTATCACAATCATTAGGATGCCCTAGTTTACACTGAATTTCTCATCCATGTCCTTTTCCCTTGGGTGAAATGTTATACATCAATTAATGTGCTTCCTCCACACCTGTAGAAAGGTCATGATCCCATTACCATTCATCCTTGTCAGCGTCACAATTGCAAAAGTGCCGAATGTCCAGGCAAATCTCATCCAGGCCACATTCACATTGCTGAACTCCAGGAGGAGCACCTCCCCAGTAAGGGTGCCTTTCCTTTGACCGGCCAATCCACCAGGTAAAAGGTACTCCATCTGAAAGACAAGGTATTTCACAACTCAGAGGGGAGCATGCCTAAAATAACAAAACTGGTATCACAAAACCTGGGATAAAATTTTTCTTAAAGAATATATGTGTATTTTTTCTTCTTCCTCCCTCTCTATAGTCACATAGATGTATATAGAAAAAATACCTTTATCTACATGCATATGTATCTATAACCAACACTTTCATGAAAGGGTTTTTATAGTAGGATATTGTTAAAAGACAAAGTCACAAAATATTATTAAATGCCTACCAAATCAGGGATGTATCACATTTAAGAAAATAAACTAGGACATATATAAGAACAAAATTCACACACACACACACACACACACACACACACACACACACACACACGAGTTCTGTCCAGAATGTATCCAGCCATATAATATGAAAAATAGAGACATTTGTTGAAGAAAATGTAAGTTACAAGAAATATTCTAAATAGGACAATGATGCCTCAGTTCTCTTCAAAGTAGGCACACTTCTAATTGCCATCAGCTCCCCCATCGTATTTTCCTGAAATTCATTGACAGTCTAAAATCTCTTCCTTTTCAAAGTTGATTTTCATTTCTGGAAAAGCCAGAAGTCACAGGGTACCAAATCTGGGCTATAGGGGTCTGAGTCATCTGGGTGATTTGATGTTCCACCATAAAGTACTGCATGAGATATGATGCATGAGTGGGTGTGCTATCATAATGAAGCTGCCAACCACTGGCTGCTAATAGGTGTGGCCTTCTGAATCATATTAGGGAGCTTATGCACCAGAAGCTATGCACAAATTGTTTTTTTCAGAATTCATGTCAATAATGATGTAATCATATGATTACAAACTTGGTTTAGCTTATATACAAAATAACCTATGATGACTTTGAACTTTACTATGTAGTTTGGACTCCAGATTATGGAGGAAAGTCCTGGGTAGTCCTAGAAGGAGGGAGAGGTGGAGAAATCCTTCCATTTCTTGTACCCAAAGCCAACATGGGCAAACATGTTTAAATACACAATGTTTTACCCTTGTGTTGCTACCTAAGCTTGCCTCAGCCTAAAACAGCTTTATGAGCTAAATAAACCTACCAACTCTCTAGTCCACTTGAGTGTGATTTATCTGGGGTAGGATTTAGAAAGAAATCAATGCATTTGAAATAGTGTTTAATTATTTATAGCTACTTGGCACTATGAAAAATGATTTCTCCACTTAGAATGATTGCTTTTTTCTAATTTTTTTATTGTTGTTCAGTTATACTTGTCACCATTTTTCTCCCATTGCCTTACCCTGCCCTGCCCATACCACTCCCACATTCAATCCTCCCCTCATTGTCCTTGCCCATGGGTCCTTTATACATTTTCCTTGATGACCCTTCCCCTTCTTTCCCCCATTATCCCCTCTTACCTCCCCTCTTGTCACTGTCAATTGTTCTTTGTTTCCATGTCTCTGGTTCTATTTTGCTCCCTTGTTTGTTTTGTTTATTAGGCTCCACTTATAGGTGAGATGATATGGTATTGGTCTTTCACTTCCTGGCTCATTTCATTTAGCATAATACCCTGTAGTTTCATCCATGCTTTAAAAATTATACTAGTTAACAGACATCTCCAACTGTAATTCTCGCTTTAAAAACTAATAAAAGAGCTTGAAACATTTTAGACAGAATGAAGAGTGAAATTTTGCCATGAGTATAGATAGTCCTTCAGGCTTTCTGCCTCTTATTACATACCCCAGAGAGTCTTCTGCTTTTGAGTACTTTCCACACATTTTCTCATCATCTACAAAATTCTTGGAAGTCCCAGATTGTCAGGGTTCTTACAACTTGCCTCAGTGACTTCCATAGGAATTCAGCAGTGAGAGTAATGCAGAAAAATTTGTTACTATTCATATACATAAATTATTCATCCATTATGTTTTAAATCAGGAGTTGCATAAAAATTTAATGCTGCCTAGCCAAAATTTCAATGTAGTAGCATTCTTAGAAAATATTATAATTCTACCTTGAAGTAGTAAATCATGAATAATTGATGTGATAAATATTTATTTTCACTTTTAAAAATAAACACATATTCAATTCCTGTTTCATGCTCAACAGAAACAAAAGAGAAATATCCAAAGAAAACCTAGACTTAACCCCATTCAGCTTAAAATCGTATTTATTAAACACCTCCACTGATATCTACACCTGTGTTTTTGGATACATTATCATTTTATGAATAATACTTTAAATTTATAGAAGTTTTTCAAATCATAAAAAAAGATTTTACTAAACAAGTGTGAGACTCAAAAATAGATTTCTGTTAATTATATAAACCTTAAAATGGAGGTTACATACTAGGTTTATATGTTTAAATATGATGCTCACAAAGATCCTTGCTTTTCCTTTGGTAATTTTAAATGACTATTAATTTTTAAATATATATGTATATAATCTGTCCAGAAAAGGTCCAGCCATTGTTAGTGTAACAAGAATGATCTGTGAAACATCGATGTAACCTGACAGCCAAGGAGAGTGGACTAGAGTGTGCATGTGTGAACAATGATGACTTCACTCTCTTACTCAGTGGGTGTGGTAGGCACTATTGACCGAGCATGTGTACTGTGTGGCCATCACATACAAAATGACTGAGCAAGTAGAACAATGAATCTGCATGAAATTTTGTGTTAAGCTTGAACATTCCTCCATGAAAAGTATTCAGATGATTCAGAAGGCCACACCTATGGGCAACTGGTGGTTGGCAGTTCATCATGACAGTGCACCCACTCGTGCATCACTTCTCCATGCAATATTTTTTTGGTGGAACATCAAATCACCCAGGTGGCTCAGCCCCCTTATGGTCCAGATTTGGTGCCCTGTGACTTCTGGCTTTTCCCAAAATGAAAATCAACTTTGAAAAGAAAGAGATTTCAGGCAATCAGTGGGTTTCAGGAAAATATAATGGGGCAGCTGATGGTGATTAGAAGAAATGTATGAGGTCTCAAAGTGCCTACTTTGAAAGGGACTGAGGTATCATTATCCTATGTACAATGTGTCTTATATCTTGTCTTCTTCAATAAATGGTTCTATTTTTCATATTACATGGCTAGATACCTTCTGAACAGAACTTGTATATAAAGTTATATGTAAATATTATATGTATTCCCTTAGCAATATTTACTGAAAATCTATAATATTTTAGGAACTATTCTAGGTACTTGGGCTAAATTATTAAATAAGAATAAAACAAACAAAAAATAAAACATGCCCTCAAAAGCGTGCATTGTAATTATGAAAAGCTGACAATGATAATAATTAGATAATTTAGTATTAGGAAAAGGATAAGGGTATGGAAACAGTACATCAGTCCTTCAAGTAAGGATAAGGTGTGTTGTAAAGATTTGTGTACTACAATTTAGGATGGTCAGGGTAGAACTCAATGAAAAAAATAAACTGAGCGAAACTTGAAGGCATGGGGCAAGTCCCAAATGGTTTGCTATGTGGAGAAGTATAAATGCTCAATATAAGAACCAAAGAGTAATTCAGGGCATTTCCTAATGTCTATCACCAGTTTTTTAAAATTTGAATTATAGGAGTGACATTAACTATTAACATTATATATTTTTCAGGTGTACAAGGTTACAATTTGATGTTTGTGTACTCTATTACATGTTCCCCACTGAAAGTTTAGTTCCCTTCTAACCATGTGTTTGACCCCTTTATTCACTTTAACCCTCCCCCACCCTCTTTTCTCTCTAACCTCTATTCTGCTGTCTGTACCTATGAGTTTGTTACTGTGTGTTTTGTTATTTTCTTTATTACTTTTTAAATTTATTTATATATTTTTAAATATATTTTATTGATTATGCTATTATTGTTGTCCCATTTTCCCCCTTTTATTCCCTTCTGCCATGCATACTTCCACCCACATTACTGTTACTTTTTGTTTTATAATCCAAATGAGTGAAATAATATTTCTTGTTTTTTTATCTGACTTATTTCACTTAGCATAATAACCTCAATATTTATCTATGTTGTAAAAAATGGCAATCTGTTCTCTTTTTTATGGCTGATTAAAATTCCATTATAAATATGTACCATATCTTCTTTATCTAATCATCTTTTGTAGTTGCTCAATTTGTTTCAAAGTTTCCCTATTATAAATAATGCTGCAATGAACATAAGGATAGAGATATTTTTACCAATACTTTTTTAAAATTATATTTTTGGTAAGTACCCATAAGAGAAATTGAAGGGTGATACACTAGTTCTATTCTTAATTTTTTGAGAAATATTTATATTTTTTCCATAGTGGCCATATTAGTTTACATTCCCACCAACGATGTATGAGGGTTCCCTTTTCTCCACATCCTGTCTAACAACTTGATATTTCCTTTCCTTTTGAAAAGAGCTAAAGGGTAGAAAGTGGTATCTCGTTGTGGTTTTGATTTTCATTTTCATAATAAGTAGTGACGTTGAGTATCATTTCATATGTTTGTTGGCCATTTGTATGCCTTTCATAAAAAAAGTGTCTATTTAAGTCCTTTGACTATTTCTACAAAAAATTGCTTTTTGTTGTTGGGTTGTATGAGTTCTTTTTTTTTTTGTAGATTTTATTTATTTATTTTTAGAGAGTGGGGAAATAGAATGAGAAAGAGAGGGAGAGAAACATCAATGTGCGGTTCCCCTTTACATACCCCCTACTGGGGGACTAGCCCGCAACACAGGCATGTGCCCTGGCTGGGAATCAAACTGGCAACCCTTTGGTTTGCAGCCTGCACTCAATCCACTGAGCCACATCAGCCAGGGATGTATGAGTTCTTTATATAGTTGGATAATTTGCCCATAATTGAAGATACCTTCAATTCGCAAATATCTTCTCCCATTTGGTTGGTTACTCTTTTGTTGTTGATTTTTTTTTTTCTGTGCAGAATCTTTTTGTTCAATTTTGTCCCATTCATTTATTTATTTCTCTTTTACTTTCCTTGTTTTGGGGGTTAAGTTCACAAAAACCACTCTGAGTTCAA